TCCCCCCCGCGCTGTTGCCAGCCCCAAGTGCAACCCTGGCCCAACACCCCCACCATGTGTTGGGAAGAACTCAGCACTACCCCGGCCCCAGCCTGTAGCCTACTCTGCCCCACTCTGCGCAGATGCAGGGGCACATGCACCCTCCCCCCCATCCCCTCCCAGGGTGCACGCAGCGGCAGGATCCAACCACCCCGTACCCCCCAAATGAGCTGCGGCTCCATCCTGCGCCCCAGCCCGCCCCACTTAGGCAGCACCTACCCCAGCCCCATTCCCTCCCTGTCTGTGGGGGCCTTAATCTGCCCCCTCCCCCCCCCCCAGTCACACCCCTTCCCTCCCACTGCAACAGACTTACCAGCTGCATGCAGCTCTTCAAGCTGCCAGGCTCTGCTCCTCGCTGCCTACATGCTGCGTTGCAGCTCTGCACATGCACAGGCATTTATCGGCCAAATTATCAGCCACATCAGGCTGATTTCCAATACAGTAAATGTTCTTTATATCAGTGCCGATCCAATATCGGACCACGGTATCAGTGCACCTCTAGTTTCCTGTACCTAACACTAAAAAATTTAACAGAGGAAAAAGGCATGCTGTAACAACAGGTACATGGCAGGATACTGGAAGGACTGCAACTATAAACTTCCTGAACAAACCAGCAATGAAAGTGTTTCCCAGACAGTAGGAAAAAGCAATAAGATTCACATTCTTGTTAAAGGTGACCTGCAGAAAAGGATTTAGTAAAATCTGGTAACTTTGAGGCATCAATCCTGTAATTCTAAACAGCAATGTAGTTCGGATATTTGGCAGGGAATCAAAGCTCACCTTTAGAAAGCACTGATGTCAGCAACTTTTCCACCTGATACCCTTTTCCTACATCATACTGGAGATACCTCATATACCACAGGATACTTAAAGCCAGACTATTGCGGTCAAATTTAATTCCCAACTTCTCGACTACAAACCCTGCTCAGCTGGGCCAGTCTAACAGGGCTACCTTTGTAGCAGTAACACAACGTTGTAGACTGCCACATGGACAGAAAATAGTCTAATAAAATTACATTCCAAATGTCTTTATCCTTGACATCTGGTGAATTTAACATGAAATTCTAACTTGCATTACTGGTAAGTCTATTCTGCATGTAACCTTAAGCCTTGCCAAAAGCCCCACTAAAATAACAGCATTCATATATTTTTGATAATAAAGGATAGTTCAAAATATGCCTGTTTAGTTTGCAAAAAAAGATTTTGCAAAGTTGGGATACTGTATTTCTGCCTTTTATCAACATGCAATTATAAAATGGTTGTCTCCAATCTTCCCTGAAGGAGAGTGATAGCCCAAATTTCTACTCAGCTCATTTGCTAAGTAACATTGTTCCTATTGAAAGAGATTATTTAAGTTTCCTTTGAATTAGAAAAAGAAGGTGCATAGTTCTGCAACTAATTATATCCCCACTCCACCCATGTACGCAGAGAAAGAAGCGGAGGTTTGTCTGAGCCAGCAGGGGAGAAAAGCTTTGGGCCCCTTGAGTTATATGCCTTCCTTCTTACTGAGCATCCAGTTACAGTATATGCCTTCTTACGGAGTGGGCGTGAAGTGGACACTCTGTGCCTAAATAGTTGGATAAAAGGATGCAATATTAATTCATAGACGCATCACTGCCAAAGGATAAGAGAGATCTCTCTCCCTCGGGATTAAAATAGGGGGTAGGCTTTGGGGCTTGCTGTGGGAATAATGCTAGTTGCCTTTTTTTGGAGCTAATTTTCTCCCTTGGCTTTATTAAAGTTTGACCTTTTGAAACTGAGAGCTTTCATTATGAAACTAAGTCCTATAAACCCCCCCCACCCACCCAGTCTACTGCTTGAACAACATTCATTTTAAGATCATACTCCCAAAACATTTTTTCCCATTTTAACTACTACAACTTCCTTTGTCTGACAAGAATAGCAACAATTTGCCAGAGCTGACCTTTCATCTGCCAGCGTACCACATTTACTGTTAAAGTATGTCCTGCACCATACACCTTAAGGCATAACTTGCCTTTTAACTGCTGCCAAACATTGTGCAAGTTGTTCTAATGCATCATCTCCCTCAAATATCTTTCCTGGCCTGTTTTATGTATGAAGATTTTTTAATACATACTGAGGTGTGCCAGGGGAATGAGCGAGAAACCTTAAAAAAAAGTCTTATAAAAACTGACATGCAAAGCTTAAACAAAAATGCCCTCCGACAGTCACTCACTGTCCATTTGAGTGGCATTACAGTCATCATGCGCACAGTAACTCATTAAAGCAGAGTATCAGTCTCAGCCTTCTTAGGTGCAAATGTTAAAAACATGTACCAATTTGTTCTTCACTGCTTAGTGTCTAACAAACAGTGACTATATCATTTAAATTTAAAAAAACCAAAATGTTTTAAAAGAAACCATGGTGTTTAAGCTAATTTTATACCGGCTTTATGGCTGTTACAGTTATGACAAAGAATAATGGCAATCCACTTGTAATAGGACTGGTAGGTGTATCTATCATAAGCTAGAGAAAAAGAAATGAGAAGGTTAGTTTCAAGCTTGTTTTTAAAATAATTTCCAAGTAACATCAAAAAAACAAAAGCAATAACATTTTTACCATACAAGCAAGACTATTCAAGTCAATGAGGCTCTTAATGCACTGAACACAGCTGCACACATCTAGCAGTGCCAACAGTGATATATACACCTCAGATAAAAGAGCAATGGTGAAGATCATAAAAAGATATTTCCCTGGTGTATATCACATCATTTTGCTTTTAACACCATTTTCTATCCTACCAAGTTGAGCTGAATGTTAAGATACTCCATGGAACTGCTTCTATGCAGTGTGCAATGAATTATCCTACTTTTTATTTTTGTAAGCTAACAGCCATCTTAGAGTCAAACTGAAAAAAATGAAACTTTTATAAAAGTATCCCCTTGTGCAGAGTGCACCTGTCCATTTCCCACAAGTAAACTGTGCAGATTCAATCATTTCGTAGAAATCATACAAAATTAGGGTTGGAATGGACTTCAGGTCATCTAATCCAACCCCCTGCTCAGAGCAGGACCACCCCCAACTAGATAATCCCAGCCAAAGCTTTGTCTAGCTGGGTCTTGAAAACCCCCAGGGATGGAGAGTCCACCACCTCCCTGGGTAACCTGTTCCAGTGCTTTACTACCCTCCCAGTGAGAAAATTCTTCCTAATATCTAACCTAAACTTCACTTGCTGAAAGGTGAGCCCACTGCTCCTTGTTCTGTCATCCGTCACCACTGAGAACAGCCCAGCTCCATCCTCTTTTGAGCCCTCCTCAGTCTTCTCTCCTCTAGACTAAATAAGCCCAGTACAATTCGTGCTGTGTAATTTGTGCAATTTCTGCCGTGGTACCAACTGCAGTGCCAACACTAACAACATCTACAAGTGCTTTGGCAACTTCTTTTGACAGCAGTGGGTTCAAGGGCTGCAGAGAAAAGATACAAGTAGAAATTCAAAATACTAATGTACATTTATTCAAATGTATTAGGTTTATTTAGGGGTTGATGTAAAAGTAGGTTCAGGACAAAATTACTGCTCTCTCCTCAAAAGGTCCTTACTGGAATGGAATGGGAGCTCATAATGAAGTTACACTGGTTCCTCATGTGGCTTTGCCAATCACATTTTGTTTTGAAAGATTTTTGTAGTAATAAATATTTTGAGCATTACCTATATTTATGTTTGTATAAGATATAGCCCCTCCCCACAACGATTCATGCTAAGCTCTATTAAAACAGCAGGTTACGCTCCCACGAGAAGGGCTGAAACCAGCATTCATGACTACAGCCTACACCTCAGGTCAGCAACCTACAGCCCACAGGTGAGATAATCTGTTAAGAGATTGAATCTAGCCTGAAGAAGTCTGATCCATTCTGCATTTTATTAGTGGCACACTGATCTGCTGCTACCCAGCTGTCAGATCTGCCCACCTTCTACTCACAGCCAGCTGATCACCTGTCACCTCTCCAGCACTGCTCTGTGTGGAGTGGTGCTCCATCACCCACCCAAAGCAGTGGTGGCTGTGTGGTAGAATTTCTGCCTACCACGTGGGAGAGCTAAGTTCAGGTCCCAGCTGGGTCAAGTAGGGGTGAGTGAAGTGACAAGGGAGAAATTCTTTTTTTCAGGCCCTACGAGGAGAGGCTAAAGGGCCTGAACCTATTCAGTCTCCACAAGAGAAGGCTGAGAGGGGATCTGGTGACCGTTTACAAACTCACCAGCAGGAACCAGCGAGACTTGGTGGAGGCTCTGTTCCCCTGGGCACCACCCAGGGTTACTAGGCATAATGGCCACAAATTGTTAGAGAGAAGGTTCAGGCTGGACATTAGGAGACATTACTTTACAGTCAGGGCTGCCAGGCTCTGGAATGGACTCCCAAGGGAGGTGGTGCTCTATTCTACCTTGGGGGTCTTCAACAGGAGGCTGAATAGATATTTGGCTGGGGTGAGATGATCCTGCCCAGGGCAGGGGGTTGGACCTGATGACCTGTTTAGGTCCCTTCCAACCCTAAGCACTATGAAACTATGAAATGTAGCCTCCCCTGAAAACTGTGCTGTTGCTTGCCACACATTTCGTGGCACATTTTTGGAGGAAGCTCCAGAGAGGTTAGAAAGCAGCCCTCCATACATAGCAGGGATGGTGACAGGGGATAGGTGGTGCATAGTGGTGCCTAAGGTGGAAGCAGTGGATCACCATTAGAAAAGGCTGGCGACTCTGGCGAAGAAGGTGCAAGGAACAAGGACAGCACTGGAAGTCAAAAGCTGCCCTATTCTAATTCTAGCTATCTTATCAACTTACTGAAAGACTTGGGCAACTCTTTCAAACTCTTAAGTATTCCCACCTCTAAAATGACATAGATCACTTATCTGTCTGCTTCAGAAAGATGTTGAAGACTGTTTTGAAATGAAGTGCTTTGAACAGGTCTAGCTGTATATAAATTGTAAGTACAATTGCTGAACTGGTGACAAAGATACCCTTACACGTGTCAGGTAGTGATACTACACACATCATTACCGAAATTACTATCAGCTTGTAAAACAGGTTAAACATGTCCTACATTGCTTTGGCATTGGCATCAACTCAGGTCTTCATGCATCTGTTTTTTTTTTAAGTGTATTTTGACCACCTGCCAGCTTCAATGATGAATTTTCAGAAATTTGTTTTACGTATCTACATTGTCTAATTTGTAAATTTTAGGGCTGCATAACATCTGTTTATTGCAAGAATCTTAATGAAAGAACTTTCAGGAGAAAATGTGAATTTTATATATTCCAATATTATAGGATAATGCACTCCCAACTCAAGGGGCAAGCATAACTATTCAATACAAGTGTGCTTGGAAGTTCAGACTTTTGCAAAGCCATGCCCAGAGAACTAGATAAAGAAACTGTGGCAGCAGAAGTCTCATTCTACTCTGCTTAAATGTTATTAATGTATATAAAATTGAGGTGAACTGACTTTGGAATTTATTGAGACACGATTGAGCTACAGTCCTTGTGGATGTGATCAGCTGAGTTCTTCCTGATAAAAATCACATCAGGAAAGGAAGGTAACTTCTTTTACTGCTTATTCTTTGTCCAGTTTCACTGTTTTTCAGACACTGGTGCAGTCCTGCAACTGTGTAATACTGCAAAAACTTTAATTTTGAAACAGTTTCAGTGATGGGTATTTAAAGTTCACATAAATAGAAAATATTCAAAGTAATGCTTCACAGTCCAAATTCAGGAGTTTCCTTTCAGTATTTAGATCCCCAACATCCCTATAAACTAGGCAAGCAATTTTACAGACTGGAAAATTGAGAAAGATTCAATGATTTGCCCAATGAAGAAAATGAGAGCTACAACCCAATAAATCATAGTTTGCAGCTCCATATTTAGATCATGCTAGCAGATTATAATTGTCATCCACTTACCTGAACCAAAAATATAATCAAAAAATAAAAATTGGCTACTCTTCTGAACTGCTCAAATAAATTTTTTGGAACAAAATTCCATACCGTGTACTGCAAAGAAAGAGAGAAATGTGGTTATATAACATAACACATTGCATAAATTGCCAATGAAATTAGAGCACTCTTAAAGTTCCTTCAGTGTTTTCCACTCAGTCCCCCACCTCCCCGAAATTCTTTCACTTGTAGTTTCTCTTTCCTCTCCTCCTTCTCACGGTCTTTC